TTACTGATTGAACGTATTATACACGTACTAATTGTATTTATACGTATTTTAATTAGAAAATAGCTGAAATCGTGTTATTCGTGTATACCTTTCCCACTACTGCCCACAATCCCGGCCCCTGCGGTAAGGCCCCGGCTAGTAATCTAATACGGAGTATTGGACTATTGGTATGCGAGTGTGGTACAGCTGTCCAATAAAGCCTAAGGTTTTAACTATTCACTTTGCACGGTGACCAAAGCACTACCAGACTAGCACAGTAGAGGCGGCGGCAAGCTCCAAGGTATTACGTACTCCGTATTGCAATTTTAAGAGCCCGTTTGGAGACCCCTTTTTTCGGCTTATCAGACTTATCAGCCAGCTTTTTCACCAAACACATAATTTTTACTTTCGCGTGCTGAATTGTGTAATAAGCAGAAAAAGTAAGGTTGGAGTTACTTTTCTGGCTGTATTGGCTGAAGTTACTGTAGACGACCATTTTAGCTATTTTTACATGTAATTTTTTCTTTATTTTATTAATAAAATATATTTTTAAAATATTTTTTTCTAGAATCAGCAGAATCAGCCAAAACAGCCACTTCAGCCAGAACTTCATAAATTTCAGCAGAAACAGCCAAAACAGCCGATTTTCGTGCTACCAAACGGGCTCTAAATCTCCTGCTTAAACTGCCACATGATTGATGTATTATTTTTCAATTCACTCATCTCCATATATTAGATATTTAAATTTTTAAATACGAGTATGAACTTTTAACTTTCAGTATTGTTTTTTAAAAACTCCATAGTGCTTAAATTTCCACATGATTGCTCTATTTTTTTTTTTTTAACTTTTTATCTCATTAATCTCATCAACGAATCTACTTTTTCATGTTTGATGTTTGATGTCAATTTTATTTATTCAATTAAGCTTCAGTTATGTGATTCAATAATGAATAGAACCTTTTTTCTAGTTTCGAAATATCTAATTTCAAACGGTTATAATAATTTAAACATTATGAGCATTATTCTAAAATTCGGCCTAATCAGTCTGATTACTTGGAACTAATTGTGGAGGACTAATTGACCTAGTTGGCTAAAAATCGGGCTAGTAGGTGACTCGGCGCCTAGTCAGTGCACAGGAGCTAGGCGTCCCTCAACCGCAAGACTAGCGTCTAGCAAGTTATAGAACATACATTAGGAGCAAATAACTTTATCATCATACATTTACTTTGTCAACCTGAGTTTGTTTTAGTTTTTTATTAATTTTTAACATGTTTTACTAAATCAGTATATACATTTTATAATCTTCTTACACAACTATAAACCAATTAGAGTGTTGTGTTTTAAATTTTATTATGATTATTTTATTTTATCTAAAAGTGGGTTTGTTAATATTTTTATAAATATTACGGAGTATTACATTTTTTAGAATTCAGTATTTGAGAATTTAAACTTTTCCATCCTACATTTATCATATATGTAATTATGTTATTGTCTTATGTTTTTTTTATAGAACCATGGTTAGAAAGAAGGATCCGCTCTGGATACATGCTGACGATATGAATGGAAAGTTCGAATGCAGGCATTGTCAGCGAGTTTTTTATGGTGGTCTAACTAGACTCAAGTTTCATTTGTCTGGATTAAAAGGCAATGACATTGAGATTTGCACACAAGTTTCTTTGGAGATACAATCTCAAGTGTGTCAAACCATTAGCCAAAACCCTTCCAAAAGGATGAGAGTCGATTCAAGTGATACACGCATAAAAAGTGATGGTACTTGTGGGGTTAGTTTCTTCTCCCTCCTTAAATACTAGGGGAGGTATGTCTTCTCAGCCCTCATTGTATCAAAGTACTATGCCTGAAATGGTAAAAAAAAACTTGACAAGACTGAGTTAGATGACTTGCTTGCTACATTTTTCATTCAAAATAATATTTCTTTTAATGTGGTGCAACAAAAGTCATTCATCAATCTTGTAAAAGGAATTGGCGAGTATGGCCCTGCATATAAATTGCCCAGCTACTCAACTTTAAGGACTAAACTTATTCCAAGAGCAAAAAAGCGTGCTGATGAGTATGTTGAAATTGTTAAGAAGTCTTGGGAAGACACTGGTTGTTCCATCATTTCTGATACTTGGAGTGATATGAAAGGACGATGCTTCATTAACTTTATTGCATATTGTCCTAGAGGTTCAGTGTTTCTACAATCTGTTGAAATTTCAGAAGATAAGAAATCAGGTCTTTTTCTGAGTCATTTAACTTCTAAGGTTATTGATATGGTTGGGCCTCAATATGTTGTACAGTTCATCAGTGATAATGGTTCAAATTTCGTATCTGCTGGAAACATGCTTATACAAAAATACACCACCATGTATAACACTAGGTGTGCTGCACATGGTATCCAATTGCTTCTGAAAGACTTCTATGAACAAATCCCTTGGATGAAAAGTGTCGTTGATGATGCAAAATCCATTCAAGCATACATGTATCGACACACTATTGTCACTGCTTTGATGAGAAAAGCTACAAAAGGGAGGGAATTGAAAAGGCCTTGTGCTACAAGGTTTGCTTCCAATTTTCTTGTTGTGCAATCTGTAGTCACACTTGAGAATGAATTGAGATTTCTTGTGGCCTCTTCTGAATGGCGAGATTTTCCCTATAGCAAGTCACGAGAAGCTATAGTTGTGACAGGATTAATCCAAAACAATGTCTTTTGGTCTATCAATAATTTAGTGAAACTAGCGTAAATATAGACATGTATTATATGCCATATTTTTAAATTATTAAACGTATAAAACGCGTACGTATCCGTATTCTTGTTGCGAACGTATAAAACATATATTTAGCCGTATTTTATAAAAGTACACCGTATTATACGCGAACGTACGTATCATTGTATCATTCGCGTACCGTATATTACTAACAAAGTCTGCCGCGACGTTGATACATCTGGAACACGGCGTCGATCTTCTCCCAAAACATCAACGAAGCTTGGACTGTTCTGACTTTGAAATATTCACTAGCTTAATTGGACTAGACCTGGACACGCATCAATCTAGAAGAAGGCTCAATGGTTTCATCTACTTCAATGGTTTCATCTTCATCTTTTCCGGTGGTGCAATCTGAAAATTCGACCTCTCCTCATCTAGTGTCTGCCCAAGGGAGCTGTGTAGTAACCAAGCAAATCAACTTACCAGTGGTGACCAACAACTTACCAATGGGTCCTGATATCATCCATGAACCACCACCAGGTATATGTCTTTTTAGGTCAGATATTTGGAGTCATGTTACACCTTATTGGGTTAGACATAAGTCTTATGAGAAGGATGAGAAAACTCGTAAATTTGTAGAGGTTGTAACATGGAAAATGAGGGCTAACTGTAAGTATTGTCCAAAAGGTCAGGGGGATTATGCATGTGACAGTGGTCCTAATGGGACAGGAGGTCCAAGAAAACACATATTCAATAAGCAGTGTAGGTTCTATCCAGGAAATGTTGACTTTAAGACACAGAAAGTTTTAGCCCCGGGAGATTACAATCAGTTAACAAGTAAAGGTTTTAATCAAAAGGAAACCATGATAGCTTGTGTTGAGATGGTGGTTCTTGATGAGTTGTCATTCAGTTTTGTTGAGAAGCAAGGGTTTAGGAGATTTTGCAGTAAAGGGATGCCTTTGTTTAAGGTTCCATCTAGAAGAACTCTGGTCAGGACATTCCTAGAGATGTATAAACAAAAGAAAATGAAACTTAAAATAGAATTGAAGTCTCAAAGGATCTCTCTAACCACCAATACATGGACAAGTCTCCAGAACTATAATTATATGGTATTGACTGCCCACTTCATAGATGCAGATTGGAATATGCACAAAAGAGTGTTAAACTTTTGTGTGATTGCCAATTATCAGGGTTTAACTATAGCAAATCTTATTGAGCAATGTTTGAATGACTGGGGCATTGAAAAAGTATTTACAGTTACAGTGGATAATGCTTCTCCTAATAAGGTAGCCTTAGACTTATTAAGGGAAAAACTCAACAATTGTGATAGTCCACAGTCTATTTTAGCGGGGGAGAACATGCATATGCGATGTGTAGCCCATATTACAAATATAATTGTGGGCAGTGGGTTAAAGAAGCTAAATTCTAGCATTGAATCTGTTAGAAATGCAGTGAAGTTTGTGAGGAGTTCTCCGAGTAGATTTGAGTTTTTCAAGAAAGCGGTTGCGAGAGAGAAATTACCATTTAAGGGGCTGGTGTGCTTAGATATTCTTACAAGATGGAATTCAACATACTTGATGCTAGAATCTGCTTTGAGATTGAAAAGGGCATTCAAAAGAATGGAGCAAGACCCTATTGGTGGATACATGGCCTACTTCAATGAACCAGAAGAAGCAGTTCCAGATGATGACAATGTTATAGTGGCAAAGAAGGGGAAGAAGAAGGTTGGGCCTCCAACTGATGGAGATTGGGACAAGTGTGATGTATTTGTTAGCTTTCTCAGAGTTTTCTATGAAATAACTCTCAGAGTTAGTGCATCACTTCGCCCTACAATCCACACGACATTGCATGACATAATAGCAATAGAACAAACTATGAACAAGTTAACTCTGCCCAATGTAATAGATGGTACTTCTACAAGTCTTTTAATGGCTGAAATTGGCGCTTTGATGAAACAAAAGTATAGCAAATACTTTGGTGATTTGAAAACAGTAAACCCTTTTGTCATTCTTGGTCTTGTGTTGGATCCTAGGTTCAAGCTTCGACATGTAGGTCATGTGTTAAGAACAGTGATGAACTGGACTGAAATTGAAATTTTTGACAAGGAAACTGAGATAAAAAAAGTTCATGTTAACTCTCTATGATGACTATGTTGACAAATCAGGGGCTGCTAAGAATATGAAGAAGAGGCTTAGGGATGGTGGTCAAGAAAGCAATATGAAGAGAGAAAAGAACACTGTTGTGCGTGGTAACTCAAGCACAAACATGTTCGTAATGGATTGGACTAAACATGTTGAACAACAAGATGAAGTGGTGATACATGAGATAGACAAATACCTCAAGGATCCTTTAGAATCAATAGGAAGGAATGCTGAGAAAGAATATGAGGAAGATGAAATTGTCATTGATGAAGAAGTGATTGAAGAGGATTATAGAATGTTTGATGTTCTAGGTTGGTGGAAATCTGCATCTGTCAAATATCCTATTTTAGCATTAATTGCTAAAGATGTACTTGTTGTCCAGGTTTCAACAGTTGCCTCTGAGAGTGCTTTTAGCACTGGTGGAAGAATTATTGATTCATTTAGGAGTTCCTTAACTCCAACTTCAGTTGAGGCATTAATTTGTATGCAAAATTGGCTTCGAGGGGATGACATACTCATTCAGTTCCAAGATGAACCATGTGCAGAAGAGCTGGAGTTTTATGAAGGCATTGAGACAGGTATATATATTACTTTCAATGAATTTATAACTTTATTTTTAGTTGATATAATTATAAATTATATTTACACTTCTAGAATTGGCGAATGAAAAGGCTGGGAGCTCGGTTAGCAATGAAGATGAAGGTTAAGGATGAAGGATGAGTAATCTGTAATCCTCTCTAAGTTGGGAGAATGGGTAGCAATGAGTTTTTGTTGGACTGTTTTGAATTTTTGATATCCTGCAGGCAGTTAGTAACTTGGTGATTATGATGCTTTTTTTTATCATTTGAAATGGTTGGTAATGTTTGAGTTTTTGTAAACTAAACATGAATTGTAATCCTCTGGGAGATCAACTAGCAATTAGTTTTTGTTGGACTATATTGATGTCTTGCAGGCAGTTGGTAACTTGGTGATTATGATGCTCTTTTTTTTTATCATTTGAAATGGTTGGTAGTGTTTGAGTTTTTGTAAACTAAACATTGAATTGTAATCCTCTGGGGCTCTGGGAGATCAACTATCAATGATTTTTTGGTTGGACTGTTGTGAGCATTTTAATCTAAATTATATGCTTTTTTCCAGGCAGTTTGTCATTCTAACTTTGCATCAAGGTACCTAGTAATTTAGAAATTCTAATTGCTAGGTTTTTGTAATAACTTTGGCATTGCTTTGGCATTGTACCGTACCGCTTTGGACCGTTCTGAAATGACATGGTACCGAATGGTTCCAATCCTAGAACCGAACCGTACCGGACCGTTTAAAACTTCATGAATACATTACGAGGTTTGCTAATTTCCCGGACCGTTCCGGACCGCGCCCACCCCTACTTTAATCTCTCTCCTTTTGTTCGTCGCTTTCCATCCGTTCCTCACTTTCTCTTCCACGAACCAACCGTTTCTCTCTCCAACCACGACAGGGATGTCAGCCATACGAATTCGACAATAGCTCCGCTGCTTCTAGGCTCCGCCGCCGTAGCTTCTCGACTCGGCCGCCGTAGCTTCTCAACTCGGTGTCTCTCTTCGATTCTAAATTAAGCAATTTTAGATGGATTTCGACCGAGTTGCCTCTCACCAAGATTGAAATATATGGTTTTAAGGTCAATCCTATGTCTAGCTAGAGAGTGCCACATATATGTCGTGGTTTAATTGCTTGAGGCAGCGTGTTTGGACAGTTTTTCACAGGCCAATGATCAATTTGATGGCCTTCAGGCTGGGAACAGACTGAACAGAGTGCAACCTCTATGTGTTTTCGATGCAGATCCGAGAGTGCGGGGATATTCTTGTGACGTCTAGGCGAGTGCTTGACCTAGATATCGGTCCGACGGTCCCTTCATCCCAATTTGGAGGAATAAATTCATGAGGTATCTATATATTTTGAATTTCCTCTCCTTTGTAAATGCTCTCACACCGACTCTCATTGATATTGCTATGAAGTAATTTGAATTCCTAGGGAGTTTAAAGTTGGATTGCTTAATTATAAGCTTGTTTTGATAGATTTTGATTTGGCGAAGATTCTATTCAAATGTTTTTAAAACTAATTTACCATGTTAGTATTAATATGTTTTGAAACCAGATTTTGAGTGTAATTCAATTGTGCTCTGCAATTTGAGTGCATCCTTCAAATGTGCTCTGCAAGCTAATTAAAGTTTTGCACATGATGAACTTTGAGTTCCTACAAAAATGTAAAAAGGCAAAAGGAGTAAACAAAAATATCTTAACTGTAGTGTTTGTGCTACAGAAAAGATGAAGCCACTTTTAATGCTTAATTGTTTATTTAAGAAAACAGTAAATTGGCGTTTAAGAAAAGTCCTTAAATGAGAAAGCACTCGTCATTTTAGAACTTACGCTCTAAGTTATCCCAAACAAGACCATTGCGAGTAATATCTATTTTGATAATAAAATAACTGAGTTTAGGATATCCTTCTTTGCAAATGAATGAATTCATCTTGTTCTCACGTTTTTACTCTATTTTGACAGCATTTTGCCGATTTACTGGCTTCGCATTACTGCTCACTGGTATTTTCTTTGAAAACTGAAGACACTTTGCAAGTTTGGTATTTTCGTTGAAAACTGAAGACACTTTGCAAGTTTGGCATTTTCTTTGAAAACTGAAGACACTTTGCAAGTTTACTTTTTTCTTATTTAGAATTTTAAATATAACCTACTTTTCTGTATACACAAATAGGTGAACAAAATATTTTTTTTTTTACATGTATCGTGTTGCTTTCTACTATATTGTGTTGTTTTATGTTGTTCGACAGTTAATTAGGCATTAAAGCTCTTCAAATTGATTCACTTACAAAATTAAAGAAAGAGTTCCCAAAGTTGAAGTTGTGAAGAAGCACAAAGTGAAATATGCGTGGCATAATTGCTCTAATGGGAAGGAAGCGCTCACCGGATCGGTTTCGATTTTTTGTTCACCCCTATGTAAATATATATGTACTAAAAAATAGTGGTGTATTATTAAATATTGTTATATTATAAGAATACTTCTCATCGTGAATGTGGAGATACACATTAAAAAATGTGATACTTTAATAAGGTTTTTTTGTTGCTCTTTGTTTCATGGTGTTGCTTTTTTGTTTCTTTTTGTTGCAATATTTGTTTATTGTTGCATTGTATGTGTTATTTTTGTTGCATCATGTTATTTTTTGTTGCATCATATGTGTTATTTTTTGTTGCATCTTGTTGCATCTTGTTGCATTTTGTTACATCTTGTTGCATTTTGTTACATCTTGTTGCATTTTGTTGTATCGCATTGTTTATTTTTCTTTGTTATTGATTTTAATTTAATTTTTTGTATTTCATTTATATTTATATTCATTAGTGATTTGGAATAAAAATCAGATAACCTAAAATGATAAATTTAGATTTATGAATAACAAAAAATCATGAAGAAACAAAAATTTTTAAAGTTATCAACAAAGATAAACACAAACAAACAATATGCAACAAAAGTAGCACTTTAATGATAATAATAACAATAATAATAACATTTGATATGTTCCAGGTTTTCATATTTACATGCTTTTTAGTTTACTGTACTTTTATGATTTTTAAAAATTCAAAGAATCTTATTTTCTGTTTTTATATACTTATCTACAATTATATTTTATTTTATGGATGTTTTCAAAGTTTATATATTATTTTCAGATTTTTTTTGTTTTAAAATATCAGAATTTGTATTCTTTATTTTTTTACAGTTAATTTTAATTTTTACGTATTTTAAGCACTTTATTTATCTTAAATTTTTTCAAATTTGTATTTTTCATAGCTTACACTTTTTATTTGTTTTTAAAAAAAATCAGGTAATTCATACTACCATCTATATTCTTTAATTTTTCTTTCTTTATTTATATTTTTCTTAAATTTGTCGTTTTTGTTTATTTTTTTCTTTATTAAAAAATTTCAAATTTTTATATTTAGATTTTTTTACTCTTTTTTAAATTTTAATTATTTACTTATTTTCAATTTTTTCCCCGAAAAATATGTCATTTTTTTATTTGTTATTTTTGAATTCTTAAGATTTATAATTCATTCAATTTATTTGAATTTTTATTTTCTTTAATATGTCTATTTTCAAATTTTTTAAATAAATACTTTTCATAAAAGATTCCAATTATTTTTTATAATATTTAATTTTTTTGAAAATAGTTTTATTTTATTTTACGTATTTGTAATAATTTTAATGTTATTGATTTTTGTACTTGTTTTGTAAGACTTTTGATTTTTTTTTATATTTTATAAAATAAATTATACTATCTATTTGAAAACTACAATAAAAAATAGAAATAATTAAATAAATATGACCAAAATAAAGATGATTTAAAAAACATATGACTAGTGACTAGAGTAGTAATGAAATTATAGTAATTCATGTTCATGTTTTAAGCTTAAGTTACCACATCACATTGTAGTAATGAATAGTCATATTTATGTAAATATGTTTTATTTTAGTAATATTCTTGTAAAAACCCCTAAAAACTATTTCTAAAGTGTTTTATTAAATATTTTTACATACTTTTTATTTTTCTAACTTTTTTTGTAAAATTAAAATTCATTTTCTTTAATTTTCAAATTTAGTTTAAAATTTTCCAATTTTTCATTTTTTTTGGAATTTTATTTTTTATTTGGAGTTTTGTTACGTTTTTTTAAAATCAATTTACTTTTTTTTATTGTTTTCTAAGCATTATCAACTATATGAGTTAATGCATTTTTACATTCCAATTTAAAAATAAAAAATATAGTTCGGTGCCTACACGTATTAGTTTATGAATTGTGAGTGAAAAGAGGAGCAGTACATGATTCGAACTTTGAATTGCACGGGTGGTGCACGTGTGAGGAGAACAAATTTGAGTCGGTGGCCCTGAGACGCGTGAATGATATTCGTGAAAAAAAAAGTTTGAACTTGTCTATTTGTGAAAGAAACTTTTAAGGGTGATAAAAGTGATATTAATTTCAGTTTTTCATCTATTTCAGAAAATTTCCCAATTATAAAAGGGAAATTCTATTTACAACCCTTGTTTTACTAATGACAGCCCCCAAATTAAGTATTAATACATAAAATTAGTTTAATATCTAATATGCCCTTTTAAAGAATACGGAGTAAAAAGGGAAATATTTATGAAAGACCTAATCGCTTTACAAGAAGGCTCTCTCTAGGTTTTAGCCTAGTTTTTCCGGCGGCGTCCTATCCAGGCCGTGGGTTCGGCCGATCTCTCCCCGATAGGCAACTTATCTCATATATCTTCTCAGGGTATTGAGTTCTGTTGTCATCGCGGGGTTTGTTTGTTTCGTTTTTGTTTTCTTTCTGACTTGCAATTGCGGCGAATCTGGATTCTGTCTGGACGAAGTTTTTGGTTTTTCTGCTTTACAAGAGCAGTGAACAAGCGAGGAAGCTTTCAGGAGGGTTTGAGGCTTCTGATTTTGTCAGGGGACAGGTTTAGCAAGGGGAAGATGGGGTGCTGCAAAATGTTGAAGACGAAGCCGAGCTGTTATTCTTCGGCAGTTTGGGAACGAGTTTTGACGAAACAGATGGCTATTGGTGAAAGCATGGAGTTTCTGGTGGTCGACATCGTGCTGTCGGACTGGAAATTCAAATTTCAGGGGTTCATTGGTGGCCTATGTGTGAAAGAAGACGAAGGGATG